TGTTGGGGTTTTGTTTGAGTATGATAGGAAAAGTTCTTTACGAAAGCGGGGATGGGTCGATTTTCGCCTAGGAAGTCATAGGCAAAAATGAGTATTTTTTGCAATAACTCAGGAATGTTTCAGCGAATTCTCCTCATCTTCGAACTTGACCGAGATATTGTAAAGACTGAACTGTATAGAAAATTTCATCGTGATCGGACTCTCCTTTCGAAAGTTATCGTGTAAACGGCCGGCCGGACGGACGCCCACACTGACCGATTCTATAGTGTACTCACTTTTTGAGTACACAAAAAGTGTGTCGCTCTTTATGGGCTACTCGCTACTTTTGACCATTGTTTGAGAATTTTCATTGATTTTTTCTCTTTCCTACATGTGTAATTTATTGTAGCGAACTACTGTGAAGAGTTCATCTATTTTAATAAATCATACAAAATACGTCCAAGCATAAAGATTATGCATTCATTTTTATTCATTAATATTATGCAGTTATTGAAAAAGAAAAAATTTTACTTCGACAAAAACTTAATTGCTGGAAAGTAAAAGTTTAGAAAAGTACATCGATTTGTATTTATGATACACAGATCGATTTTTTTTTAATAGATTTATTTTTATCTTGAAGGTTTATTCCGTAATCATGACTTTCGGGACATTTGAAAGAACTATCAAATAAGAAGATTCATGCATATAGTTTGTTAATTCATTGAATTAATATGCCAATTCAGAAACTCTAACTCCTTGGAACATCTATAAATCTATGACTTTGGTTGAACCAAGCAGTGAGTCATATAGTTTTCTATTGCTTTTCTAATTTTATGATGAGATTTCAGCCAAAGAGAGTCAATGCAATTAGAAACTTTTTATCATTAAATTCTTTTAATTACTTAAATGGAGACTTTTTCAGTCTGATTTTGACTAGCAAGTAAAATCACAAGTATTTGCGTTTTGATAAAAGGGATCGAAGCAGTTTATGTTCTTAAATTGTAGTACAATTGACACACAAAATTCAATCAAACTTTGCTGTTATAGAGAAGTTCATCTTGACAGCAAGTCAAATATCGATCTAGGCAATACTTTTATCATTCAATATACTGTTGTTGAGTTTCTTCGACCAAAATTTGATTAATCTGTCGTTGTTTGATTAGTGAAGGAAATGTTGAAGATAAAATCGGTTCTGATGAAATGTCTGATACAGTATCCAGTAAAGTTTGCTCATCTATTTGAACTTCAGCACGGAATGTTTCTGTGTTCGCTTTGAAATGTGTGCTTCCTCGAGGAAACGGTGCAGAGTAATAAGGTTGAATAGCTCTCTTTCTGCCAAAAAGACGATAGATGCGCCATAAATTAGTCATAATCAGTGTAAAAAAGTATGCTTGAGCATGTGCTTTTCGATGCGTGCATACATCATAAATTATGACAGGAATCCACATTGGCGCAAACAATGTAATTAGTATTAGTGTTTCAATAATAACTAGTATCATTACAGGTTTGTTACGTTCGATTGAAGGTAAAGATTGTAAATATTCAATATATAATGGATGAATATTGTGATGTGTTGCGCCACTACGTAAAAGACCAATATAACGATTGCTGGGCAATGCATGATGATACAATATGGCTGGACTTGTCTGACGAACAACTAATGCATAAGCTTCAATTATACGACCATCGTAAGCATATACATTGACTTTTTGCGGTATGTATCCATTGGCATCTACTCCACTTCCTCCTTCAGTTGCCATTAAGTGTTTAAATTCTTTGCTTGTCATCTTATGCAATACTCCGTGAGTTTCGGCATCAGGATTTTCTTTAATATTGCCAAAGCATGGCTCAACTGCAGGAATGCCACGAAAGTCAAACGTCAACTGCCATCCTTCCAATACTCCTGGAATAGATTCCACTGGATGAATTTTTCGTCGACCAGTTAAGACATTAGGATGCATATTGGAACCATACGCGAAATTGTACACGTACTCTGGATAACTTAATGGAAACAAAGGCTCTAAAGTGGAGTCAGATGCACTCATCTAGAACAGAGCTGAAAACTCTATTGAAAAGAGTATTTGATATCTTCACAGAATCAATCACGCGTTACACAAAAGATATTACCGACTCGATGACATTCGAAGCTTAAATTTTTCACGTACAATGGGTTAGGTCCAGTTTTGACCTTTCTTGTGGTCAATTCGTCCAAGAAACTTTTAATACTGCTATCATATGTTCTAAGAAAAACTCGACGGGCTCTATCACTTAGTGAAAATCATTTTTCGATAAATCTTATATTAACAAAGAAAAAATTGAAATACCTCACTCTAAAAAAACAGGTTTTTTACCTAACCTCCCGAAAATTTTCTCGAAGGTATACAGAATCTAAAAAACCAGCTTTCAGATTTACGAAACCTTTTTCTGCTCTACGGAACTTAGAAAAGGTTTCGCATTAGAAGGTTCGGCCAGTGTACCCGAGGGAAGAACCTTTAAAGGATTCGTAAATTTGAAAACCCATTTTTTAGATTTTGTACACCTTCGAGAACATCTTCGGGGAGTTCGGTAAAATACCTATTTTTTAGAGTGCTGTTGTTTTGTCAATGGATAAATTAACACAAACAGTCATTTTTGAGCCGATTTGCCTACAAACCTGGTTCAACAAAAATATTCATATTCTAAGTAGAACTTGATGAGCTCTATCAAGTGGTAATAAACATATTCGAATTGCATCCTTTGTTGGCAAAATATCTTTATTTTACTACCTAAATTTGTTCTGCTCTGCAGTTTTTCCTAGGCTGCCTGGCTCATTAAAATATTCTGACAAAAGTAATGAATATACCAAGTAGAACTCAACGAGCTCTGTTAGCTAGGAAAAATTGCATCTGAACAATATCCTTTGTTCTCATGGCGTTCTCACTTTACTGGGCCCTTGTATCAAATCGTCAATCGAACCTAAAACTTGATAATTTCTTGAGAACCAAGGGTGCTATTGAAATGCAATTTTTACCATTTAATAAAGTTTCTAGAGTTCTTGGAATATGAAAACTATTGTTAGAACATGTTTGTAGGCAATTCGATCCAAAAAATACAAGAGTTTTCTAATTATTGCATTCTGTCATGGTAAGAATGGTTATATTCAAATAAGGATATCTGTAGAGGAAAGGATACTATCGAGATACGATTTTCACTAACTGATTGAGCTTGTTGAGTCCTACATAGAATATATGAAAGATATATTAAAACATTTTCTCGAGCGAATTGGTACTTAAATAAGGTCAAGTCTGGACCTAACATATCCTACATAATATTTTCGTTTCTGTTGCATTCGAAACTTTGATGCGAATCGTGTATTGGTTGCTAAATAGTTTTTTATTCTCATAAAATTCGATGCCCTTCTTAAGACTACATATTCTAACCCAGTTACAACTATCTAATTGGACAAAAATAAAGTCGAATCTATCCAACTCTATATAACAATTATATTAAAGGGGTATACACATAAGAGCTTTTCCACGGTAGAAGAAGAGTTTCTGCGAATGGACTGGAAAATATCGAAAAGAAAAATGTCAAAAAAAACGATATCGAAAACTATAATGGTAAGATTTGATCGGGCTCCAATCTTTTAAACATTCTTTATTTCGTTGGTTCATGCTTGTGTTGATGTCCACCACTCTGAATACAATATCTATATACATTGGCAATAGAGTGAATTATTACATTCTATTATTACTAACTTTCTTCTCATTGATGCATCTACATTACCGCTTCTTTGATTTTTCTTTCTAAATTAAAGCTCATTATCAACAAACGAAATAAATCATATGAACTTATTGAATTAAAGAGCGATAATGACATATTTTATTTCATATTTTTTGGTGTCGATTAGAGTAATATTAGAATAGTTATTTCCATTTTATACGTATCTGTAGGTAATATGACTTCGTCTTTAAGCGCGATGTCTTTTGTTCTATCAGAAAAAGGAAAGATAATGCTTGTTATCGACAATTACATATCTAAGTTGAATAAAACGGCCAATACAACAAAATACTAACGATCTGACCATGGTGAATGTGATACCACGGTGCATAAGAGCTAGAAAGGATGTTCTTTTAAGAACTAAAGGTGACCATTATCATATAATTGAACCAGAAGAAAACGATTGATTATTTTTATGTGTTACTTGGACATTTCGTTAATTTATTTGAAATGTCAATTACACTATGAATGATGCTGTTCTAGTATTTCTGTATTCAACAATGTCTTTTACCATTGATCAAGATACTCATGTTAATGATTTTTTATCTTCTAACAATCATTCTTTCGATATTTTTTCTTCGAGATTATTTTTTTCGCTCTTTTGCTTTACTTTCTCTTTCTTTTCTATATTTTTTTCTTTCTACATTTTCCTTCGACATTTCATCATTCAATATTTTTGCTTTCTGCCTTTTCCCATCATATCGTCTACGCGATATCATCGTCGAAAAACTGCTTTTCAAAGTATATCCCGCTGTACCCATTATAAAAGTTTTGAATTGAATATAAAATTCTTAATTTTCGTAATATGTAAGTCTTTTAAAAATCCATGGGTAATGCACTCCTGCTCTGATAACTTTCAAACTAAATCTTTTTGACAACAACAAAGTGTGAAATTTCGAAGTTTTCAATACATGTACCGATTACTGAGTTGCTTGAATATCATGAGTTTTATCAAATTTAATATGTCAATTGCGTTTGATGAGCAAAATATTCATGCGTTACATATTCATAAAAATTTTTTCCTACTTTATTCTTCAATGGTAGTAAAATATTTAGATCTTTCGCACGAACCAATATTTGCTCGCTTATTTGTTGAATTGTTAGTAAATAATTCTGACTATCTATTAGTAAGAAACGATTTCGAAAGCAATATTCATAACACAAATAAACAAGAAAACATTTTGGAAACGTATAGATATCGATAAGATGTGAAAAGTAGGAAAGAAAAAACATCGATTTCACGCAATTTTTATACTCTGCTACTGCCGTTGTTGTCATCCATTTCGCGCGAGATTGCTCGCGTGTTGTTCTCCATCCTGTTTGTTTTTAAGTTTCATTCTCCTTTTTCTTTCGCATATCTATTTTCTATGACCTTGCCGCATATACACATACGACTTAGATCCATAGTCTCAAAGAGTGTAACTGAGAGTATACGAACTGTGAACTAAGTTTTTCATATTTACTGCGTTACAGTCGTATATGACCAAACATGAATATGATTTACGATAGTATTTGTGCCGTAATACAGTTCCTTATTGGCACCTGTATCTTCGAAAACAGACTATGAAATAATAAAAATTGTACTCCTTTTTCAATGCTTCAATTCTTTTCCTTTTCTCATGAAATATATTCACAGCATAGCAGACCAGATAGAATATCTTATGATAAATAGCGTATTACAACAGGAAAGGTGTATGTTTGACTTATCATATGTGTCTTTTCATTGAATGAAGACAAGTCACAGATACTAACGTTTTACAATTGATACAGTAGTAAATGGCGATCATTTTATTAACGGTTTTTAGCCGTAGTTATTCAATGCATGACTGTACACTCATGAATGATTAATATTAACAGTCGGTTGTTCATTTCTTGATCATCTAAGTGTACTACTATCAGATTATGTTACAAATAGAGACATGTTTGAACTCCAACTTTTTTATGTTAAGATAAAACTTCAAAATGCTTCTCCTCCATGTACTATGGATTGTTTGCTCTTTTTATTCTCCAGCAAAAATTTAACTTATTACATATCAAAGTCACACCATTTCCAGACACCTTTCCACTAAACAATCTGGTCGCTCGAAATCAGGTACGAATAGTATCATATGGTGATAGGCTCAACAATGGAATTCTTATCTGGAGTACTTATAGTAATTAGAACGTCTGGTCATTAGCTTGAAACATAAAATTGATATGAACGATAGTTAACTCGTCAACTGTCACTTTCTTCCTTGTTAATTTCTACATCCTATAGGTTTGATTTTATATTGTTGAATTGGATATATGAAGCCGATCAACAATCTGAAAAATTTCGTAAAGAACAATGAACTAACATGATTAATTTCAGTCCAGTAACTGCTTAAAAGTACCCAGGTCAGCATGGTCAGTCGTACACTAACCAATTACGGCAGATAACGGTAACTGTTTCCTGTAGCCGTTTACAGCAATAATAAACGATGCTTTACGGCACATTACAGCTAGCGTAGCAATGCGATGACTGTATATGTTGTTCGAAAAAGATCGTAAGACATCGTATACATCATCTGTTTACAGTATTTATTGATGGTAATCGTTAACGATACTTTACAGTGTATTAACAACCACCATAGATCGTCACTGTTCACGAACAGCGTAACAATACGGCGATCGAATACGTGCATAAGATAAAATGCTATAACGAACTGTATACGCTAGCTGTTTTCGGTTGCCGTATCCAGCAATCGTAAACAACCGTTTCCTTAGTATTACACCGATAACAAACTACCAGCGTAAGCACTCATCGCTTACGGCCCCCATCAAATTCCACCGGCTCTCAGCGATAATCGGTACATATCGATTGACCAATCAGATTTCGACAAGCCATTTCGCGGTGATACAAAAGACGGAGCCCTACACATATACCTCTCATTGGAAGGAGCGTCCCCGATAATCCTAGAATCGGACCGAAGATGACTGAGAATTGTCCTAAAAATGGGAGGGGGGAGTAGCTGCGTTGTTTTACGGTGTTTTTTGTGACGTGTATTGCAGCCGTGTGTCACTGTTTACAACACAGCGATTTACTGCCGTAATACGGTGCATAGAAGAACGGCCATATACGGCATCGTAAATGGCTATATACGATCGTTTCTGGTCGTTATAAATGCATGACCTGGGTAGCTTACAGCGTAGGACATCATTTAGTGTTATTGAAAATTATCATTTTCGGTTTTATAATCCTTACTACATCAATTCAATCTTTTTAGAAAAGTCAACAAGAAAACTTGTGAGGAATACTTTGAACAAC